TTTTTGGGAATATTTTTAGCGAGGGACTGATGTTTGCGAATGTCTTGTTGTGATAATCTCAACTATTCTGCTGTGACTTAATTAGGACCCGTTTTATACATGCGACTCGTGTTCTTATTCCTTCTAGTCATGTTGGACGTGTGTTTTAGTCTGTGTGTGAACCTGCTTACCAAAAATTGCAGCTTGTACTGAATAGTCGATAATTCTCGGGAAGGCACTAATTATCAAACAGAATATAAAACGTAAATGATATGTTCTACATCCATATTATTACTTGTTTGTTTGTAAGTAGTGTAAAAAGACCAGCAATAACTGCTATTAAACGTCCTGATTCATCACCTGTCCTCTCAGGTGAAACTGGGGAAGTTAGAATATGGTGCAAAAAGGCATTTATGTTCAGAAATTCAACTTAAAAGGTGAAACTAATAAATGAGGCAGACTCTACATGCAAGGCCCTTTACTTCAAGCTTTGTTTATTTATTTATTTATTGGTTATTATTGTGATTATTATGGGCTACAGCTCATGAAAATCTCAAATTCAAAACCTCAGACAGAATATTGTCACTGGGTTCAATAATCCAAATTCAAAGTTTCACACTTTAATCAGCTAATGAATTCAAAACACCTTCAAAGGGTTCTTGGGCCGTTAGACGGTCTCTCAGTCTAAAATGGATTACTGACAAAAATGCACCATATTCTCATTTTTCAGGTTTCACCTGTAAATGTAAGGATCTCTGATCCGTTGACTAAGCAACACGACTGCATCACATAAAAGCCCCTGCAGTATCCTCCCGTTGGCTTTGGCTCTTGCTTTGAGCTGCTAGTCTTGGTTGGATGACCGAACTTTCACAGAAATGACCAAAAACAAAACATCTTGGCTCTGTTTCCCCATTTCATTTCATTTATTCATTCAAAAAGTGCATTCATGACACCGTCACGGTACCCAAAGTGCTGTTCCCCAAAAGCAAAGAACAAAACAGAGAATAGAGCAAGTAAAGAAAACGAATAAAAAACCTAATAACAGCATAACATGCAACATCATTTAAAACATAACCGAAAACGATGAAAAATAACCCAAAACAAGTCACCACTAAGAACCAGTTTAGCTTAGAAACTCTGTAAAGAGGGCCCCTGTTCGGCGTGTAGTTGTTCCCAGAGTCTTAGAACAAGAACGGAAAATGGCCGGCCCTGCTCCCTCACTTCGTCCTTGGGTCTAAAAGACTTTGATCAGCTGAGTGTAGGGATCTAGCTAGACTACAGTTTGAAAGCAGATCGGAGATTTTCACCAGAGTTCGTCTCATATGCATGAACTAAAACCTTTAGAAGGCTCTGGTATTCCATGGAAAGCCAGTGTTAATGACTGAATGTTCATGCAGTTTGGCTCTTTCTCCTTATGTTAGCCACCTGGGACTGCATGGAACAGATGTGGCAGCCCTTGAACCTCAAAAGAAGAGTTAATACCATGGGGGGGGCTCGCTTTTGGGTGTGCAGTACCTGAGCGTTTTGCTGTTGTTCGTTCCACAAATACCCAATCTTTAAAAGGCACGCCTTCTTGCAAAGGAGATCAGTCAGAGTTTCCAACAATGTGAGATCGTCAAAAAGCATTGCTGCCACTAGAACCGACTCTACCTACGTCTGGTCCGTGTGGCCGCACGTTCTCCGACGCAGCAGTAGGCACAGACGTGTTGTCAGCTGTGGTCGTATAAGAGACAGGAACAACTGTGAAAGGTGACAGCATCTCCGTTTGTGTGGGGTGACCTCGTTCTCAGTGGCGGGTTTGGCCCGTGTGTCTACCGGCCATCTGGCCCTACTCGTCTCCGCTGTGAACAAATACCAGGCAGGCGGCTCGCGGACAAAATATGACGGTGTGATTCAATATTGGTGGTAGTTGTAAGCCTGGGATTAGCCTACCACATCCTCCGTTTCAGGAAACAAAACCACCCACCTGCCAGTGGGTTCTATTCACCCACTGAGAGGTAATCTTTCGGGTATTGTTTGTCTCAATCTACAAACTATACGGTAATTACTGCAAACAGTTGATCTGGTGCCAGTGAGCCTCATAATGCATGAGGCAGGATGCATTTACATTCAGCGGATCCGCTCCCACTGTTCTCCAAGAACAGAATGAACACAATGCATTCCACTTGCCAGGGTTTTATATTAAATCCATATCCAGATTAGGAAAAAAGAACGATATAAATCACATTATCATCATCGTGAGATGCATGATTTCTCTGCAAGAGCTTACAGACACACGCTGCTTGTTGCACTCTCAGGTAGATGGAATCGTTTAAAGATGAGTTCTCTGCTCCTGAATGTGGAGGTGTCATTTCGGTCGGTAGGGGGCGTGTGGTACCCAAAGATGACAGCCTGTTTCTGGACCCCCCCCCCCCCCCCCCCCCCCAAAAAAAAAACCTCCAGGATTTTTGCTAAACCCAGCAAAGGTGCTGCTGCTGGTGTGTGTGACACAATCACCCATGAAAGAGAAGCAGTTTACCTTTAACACGTTCGAACAGCGTGAGTACCTCCGTGCTGTTATAAATCAGGTTTACTTGGATTTTATGGGATGTAATCATTTGAAAACGTTGCACGAAAAGGTAAAAATGTTTTATTTATTTTCAAATCGGACAGTGTAAATAAGTGTGAGCCAGGCAGAACCGGAAATGTGCTTGTAAAACATGTTTATTTTTATTTATTTTTACTTAAGGCGAGATCAGAGCAGAGAAGCTCCTCTTCCTCCAGGAGAAGCTCGTGTCTCAGCAGCAGGCCTGGATCCGTGCCTCTATTTCCATGCAAGTGCGCGTCCGGCCCGGCCCGGTCGTGTCCGATCCAAATGGATTCACCTCACGTCACCACCCTGCACGCCCACACCACCACCCCAAAACCTCTGCGCATAAAACATTCATCAGAGCGCTGCAAGAAATGTCGTTATGTCTCAGATTCGCTGTTAAATATCGGTTCTAATAATAGCCCGGCTGCGGGAGCCTGGCGGGAGATTGCCCGGAGACCTGTGTTTGTGCGCCATGATTAAAACTTAACTTCTAGAATAAAAAGGAATATTTTCCGTTCCGTGACACAGACGCATAAAACATTCATCTCTGAATTTTCTCCTCTTTCTGTGTCTTTCCGCCAGACGCACCTCTCTGCCCCGCCCTCTGCTCCTCTCAGCTCCGCGTCTCTCTCCTCCTCGCGCCGGTAAACGCACACTGATGCGCACCAGCGCGGCCGACGTCCACACACTTCCCTCTGCCATGGGGGATGTACAGTGGAGCCAGTGATCGGACCGGATCTGTTCTGCGATGACCAAAAGGATGGATTGTGTTTTTTTGTCGATTCCGCCCCTCTGAGCTCTTCCTCCAGACCTGTACTGCTTTTGGGGAGGTGTGGATCCCAGTTTGGATGTTTACTGCTGAGTTGTTTTGAAATTCTGGTCCACATGACTGAGCCAGGGCACGACCGGAGACGTGGCTCCCCGATCGGGAAGACCTACGGCTAAAGTTTGGAGGGTTCTCCTCCCTGTTTCTCCACCTTCCCTGGGATTTGCTGTCACCCTAATAAACCGCACCGAATAACGGATATCTCGTCCATCTGCGCATCCGACGGAAGTTATTCCACTTGGATTTATTGCGCCTCTGGATTTCACCCCCATCTACACCATGAGGAGCGTCGTTTTTGATGGTGAGTGGACTACTAGACGCCAGGGTGCTCTCTGTAAAGTTTCCTCTTTAACGCGCAGAACGGGGCTTTGCTGGATTTCTGCGCACTGATAAAAACCCGCTCCGTGGAGAGCGGACAAATAAAACCAGGCGCTCCTGGTGGGAGTTCACTCAGCGGCTTTCTTGTGCGAATGTGTTGCAACGTCACTGATGTGGATCTAACTAACAGGATGCGTCAACACCGCGGGTGTGAACGACCTTGACTTACTGGGTCTTAATGAAGTTGTTAATCAAAGCACCTTCCTCCTGTTTCCATGATGATGAGTTTATGTGTGAGGCTCCATTACGTTTCATGATGGCCAATATGCTCCGTTTTACATCAACTTAGCCCAGGCTTCGCTTCAGCCCGACGGAGAGCCGTGGGCAGAGCCTCTGATGAAGGCTGCAGATGGTCCGCTTGGCGGCTCGGCTATACCGCAGCTCCTTGGCTCATAATTAGTGTTTTTGTGGCGTCGTCCCACTGGGGGGTGGGGACGGGGGTGGGGGGTGGACAGGACAAAGTGACAGAAGACTGGGCTTTGGACAGCCTGACTTGGATCCACTCTAATGAGAGCATAAATGCCTCCTTATTTGCGCCAGAAATGGTTACGAACTTCACATCTAGGCAGGAGGAGGAAGAGGATGTTGATGCGTGTGCGTGCGGGCGTGCGCGCAGGTATATGGAGGAAGGATGGGGCGAGGGAGGGATGGCGCACCTGGCATGCGCCTCTCCATGCACCTGCTTGTACGAGCTTTTACTTTAGTGTGCAGAAAGCTTATGTTTAATGCAGAGCGGGGATAACAACCCAGGGATGGCGAGTGCTGGAACACTCAGATGATGTGCGCGCGTGTGCGTGAGAGAGAGAGAGAGAGAGAGAGAGAGAGAGAGTGAGAGAGAGAGAGAGGTTTGTATCTAAAGCTTGTGGGAAAAGCCCAATTTCCATTCGACCCCACCCTCCCACGCACACACACACGCACCCACACACACTTATGCAATGCCGTACACTCCAGCATCCTCACGATGTTCATTACTTGGCTCAAGCTGAAGGATTACGGGAAGGAAGCATGCAGATTTTCGTGGGTCTGCAGAATAACTCGGCATCTCACGTCTGCTTGTGCATTCTCTTTGATAAGTCACGGAATGATGCAAATTCAAGTGCACATCCCATCACTGTAAAAAATGGCTTTGGGTCCCTCCAGCCTTCCCAGCTGCTGTTGTGATGTAGCACCAGGCCTGCAGTGAGACAGACACCTATACGTCTGATTTACCTGATTCTCCATCTGCGGTTATAATTGGTATCCATCTCTCTGGTTGCTGATTTGACTGAGAAAATATGGCGTGTCGTGTCTTGTGTTGAAAGTGTCAGGGTGAGGAGGGACTTTAATTTACACTCTTGTTCCCCCCGTCAGCGTATGATCAAATGCCTCTGTGGGAACTCTGTTGCTCGGGGGTGCCGTTGCTCCCTGTCGACTGCCAAGCAAAGCCAATAAAGTGCAAATGAATGGATAAAACCATTATGGTGGAACTGAAGGCTTCCTCTTTGGTAACCTCAAACCACAGCACAATGATGATGTCTGTTTCTGTATTAATCCAGTTTCTCATTTTTTGAGAGAAGACAGCAAAAAAACAACTCTTCCTTGATTTAAAAACTTGGCCATGCACACAGCGTCAAAGGTAAGGAAGGTAATCCTTTAGAGCGTATGAAACTATACTGACAGATGCAGAAAGAACAAAAAAGATGGCTGGCTGATCTGTGCTAGGGGAGATCAAACACCAAGCCATAACTCCACAATGAGACCAGGCTGCTCTCATCCCTTGAAAGAGAATGTGAAATTGATCCATCTTTGTGTTTCTATGGATGTTTACAAAAGAACCGGGGGAGGGCGGGAGGTGTGTGATGTTTGGTGGGTTTATGGGGAGGTCTGAAGAACAGAAAGGCAGTAAATGGGATCACAGTCATATTTTTCTCTGAAGGTGTCTTCTGTCACAGTCAGAATTAATTCCACGTCAATACAAAAGAAGCTGGAATGTATTCTTTTACATTACTGGTGGTTATGTTGGAGGTCTTTTTATCATGACTAACCATAGTCAACAACGAGCCCAACAGAAGCACGGCTGTGTGCTTTGGAGTTTTAAATGTGCAGAAAATACAGGAAGTTTTAAATGTGTTCAACACGCATGTAATTAATACATCTGTGGGGTTTTCTAGTAGGAACGAATGCCTTGTGAGTCATACTCTGGGGAAACAAAGCTCAGGTGCACCATTTTAAGGAACCAGAAGTGAGTCCCATCAGAGATGAGCTTCAGACGGCAGGATTTTCTTCCTGAAATTTGGAACACCTTGTCTCTGATTGGCTAACAGCAACCTGACCCTACTTCTGACTCTGTGACATTGATGTTTCACAAGCCTGAAGGAATTCTGCTGTGTGGTGGAGTTGCCAATGCTAACAGTTAGCTTCTGCTAGCCAAGACTTTCTCTGATTCCTGGATGCTAAAACAAAAACAGACTTCCCCGTCGTGAGTCAAGATGGGCGAGTCCACGAATGACCTGTGACCTGTCAGGATTTTCAAATCCTAGAGTTTCACCGTCCATCTTCTATCAGAAGCTACTGCACGAGATAGGTGTAGGAGACTATTTTCATGTTCAGCCTGCAAGAAAAACTCAAAAATAAGAAATTTAGTTTTTTTGTCAGTGTTCCACACCATTAGCACCCCTACAGCCCGGAGTTCTGACCGTAGTTTTGGGTTTTGGGATGGATGGTGATCAGAGCAGCAGACCCTGAATGAGCCCTATAGCTGTGGAGCTTTCTAGCGGTTATTCCCCAACCTGAACATCCCAGTTTTCCATGTGTGTAAGCCCCTTTTTTAACATTCTAGGTCATCCACAGAATCATGAACATAAAAGGCAGTCTGCCTGACAATCAGCCTTGTTGCACACACCGCATTGTGTTTTCTTCCATTCTGTGGTGAAATGTAGACATCAACATGTCCAAGGTAGGAACTTATCCACTTAAAGTTGCAATGGCAAATCTGCAAAACGAGCTAGCTTTTAAAGATAAACACAGTCACAGAACTCTCAACCCTCCCAACAGGTATCATCCCTAGGCCACACCCCACTAATATGGGAACACACATTTCCACAGTAAATAAGAGAAATAAACACCAGCCTCCATTTGTTTTTACGTCTAAACGCCTTTTTTCTGTGACTTTTGGGGACTCTGGTAGTTTGTCCTAAAGTTGAAGTGGTAGCAGCCGGCTGTTTCTCCTTCTCTGATATTACTGAGCGGAGAACCTCTCCGCATGAGGCATGAAAAAACACTCCAAGGTCGGAAAACGACTGCAGTTGCTTTCAGTGATTTATATCAAATGAGTAAACCCAACAGCTAAATTCAACCTTCGAAAAACCCTTTCGGAAAAAACTGTCTAATAGCAGCGTTTTAAACTGTTGCATGAAATGTTCCTATTTTAGAGCGCAGTCAACCTCCTGGAACTGTGTCAAGATTTAGATTTGATCTGAAGTTGAATGATTCAGTATCGGTTTGGTCTTCATGATGTTTAGAAGCACCTGCAGCAGTGATGTTCAACACGTCTAACCGTTTTACGCAAACACCTCTGAGAGCTTTTTATCCCCAAACAACAACAACAACAACCCAAAAAAAGAAATCCAGCCGAGGCCAAAATCCAAACTTTTTGGAAGCGTTTCACACAAAAGGATTTACCTGCAAGCTGGCAGGAGCCAAGAAGCATGAATCGCAATCCAGTTTCTCCCGCTAAAGCAAGAAAAAAATGAAACATGCTGTTGGTCAAAAAATACAACCTATCTGTGCCAAACTGGATGCAATGAAAATGCTGTGCTGTAACAAACAGTTCTGGTTGTTCGGGATGTCGGGACCCCACTTTGGGTCACTAAGAACTGCAGAGGAGGTCTTCAGATGATCCCAGAAATCAAAATACTATTGAAAAACAACAGTTGGATGTTCATTTTATCATAATTCTTACAAAAATGCAACTAATGCATTGTACATGTCACAATCTGCTCCTGCCTCCCTGACTGTGTCTCTCCTGCCCTTTATTAGTCTTTATTGTTCTCACCTGCCCCGTGTTAATCCGCCCAGGTGCTCCCGATTTTCCCCTGTGTATCTATACCTCCCTTCTTGTCTTTGTCGCATTCCTGCCTCCTGATCTGCTCCACCACACATGGTCCACCATCATCCACACCCGCAACGTGACAATACATTGATGTAAGATGAAGCCATTTTCTTTCTGCCCTGAATTATTTAGCTTTTTCACCTTTTTTGTGCACAGATATCTGGGGTCGCATGTTAGTGATGCACCAGTTTAAGAAGCTTATAGATGAAATTCAGAACTGGATTTAGGAAGTGAACATCTAACTGGCATTCCAACTGGGTTTTGATTCACATACGTTTAGCAATATTTTACAGCGTTTGAACCTTCTGGTAGGTCCGCCAATTGTAAAAGTACTATTTAATTCAGTTTAGTGATATTTATTTCTGGGAAAGAAAGTAATATAAAATAAACAGACTAAACGAAGATATTCTAAAGAATGTATGGCTTGTTTGAATGAAAGTAAATGATTACCCCAATATTAGGATTTTGACCTTTGTTGCCCCAAATGAATAAAAACTAAATTGTATGATCCTATTACAGCTCTAGGACACTTTTAAATGCAGATATTTTCAATTCAATTCAAAAATACTTTATTAATCCCAGAGGGAAACTGATTGCTGTAGTAGCTCAGAATAATAATAATAATCAAGTCATCAAAGAGTTGTTGTATATTACAATGGCTGTTGGCAGGAAGGATCTCCAGTAGCGGTCAGTGTTGCAGCCAAACTGAAGAAGCCTCTGACTGAAGACACTCTTCCGTTGTCGGACAGTCTTGTGAAGAGAATGCTCAGGGTTGTCCATCAGTTTCTTGATTCTCTGGAGAATCCTTCTTTGCATTATCTCCTCCAGCGGTT